TTTTATGCATAAATGATATCAAGTAAGATAATGTAAATCATTGTTATCTTTTTGATATAAATTTGAGCAAAAGATTGTATTCTAGATATACAAAAAAATAATATTACTGTGCTAGAATGATGATGCAAACATAAATTTATCATTATTTGAGTGACGATTTGAACATAAATTTATTGTCATTTATTCATTCGGATATGAATTTGGGTAAATAAATATGTTCTAGATAGAAATCATTGATTTGACAACACAAAAGCGAATTTATATACAAGATTGATACCGATAACAAAATTGTGCCAGAACTCCCTTTTTGTCTCTACTGCAGATGCATTAATTGTAACAAGAATAAACAAAGGTTCTGAAGAAGTACAACCTAAGATACATGACAGTTGGTATATCGATATGTATAGAGAGAGATATGTTCAAGAAATGGTATTTTCAGATGATTATCTGTTGCAACAATTAAAAGAAAAACTAAAAAGAATTCAACAAATACTTGAAGAATGAAATCTTTGACCAGTTGAAGGTGTAAATTTGGTATATGACCAGTATGCTAAAAGAAATAATAAAAAAAATAATGATTTTAAAGAATTGAATTGCTGTGCACAAAGAATCATTTTATTACAGTTAGACTTCTGTGAATAGCAATTAATATTAGAAAAGGTCATTATTAAAAAAGATCATATTTTTGAATAATACCCTAAGTTCTATTGTAAATATAACTTCATTAAATAATGTTGAGGTTTTACCAAACAGGAACTTAGAGTATTGTGCAGTTATAATTATAATGACCTACTAAAATGACTTCCAGAAGTCCTTTATAATATTCCAACAACAATCATTCATAAGTTTGCCCATAAATTATGAAAGTATATGGATGCCTACTATAAAGGATTAAAGAGTAGAATGGCTGAATGGGCTGTTAATAAGTTTAAATCACACCATTGTTTGCCTGAAAATATAAAAAGAATAATGTAAATATCATAATATAGGTTAAAAAAAAAAAAATACATATTGCCATTTCTTACCAGGTTTTTTTTTTTAACCCAATTTTGCAATATCAATCTGGTTCACATATGGGTGCTACCTAGGAATTCCAACAATACAACAGAATGCAAACCTTTAACTGATCTGATTATAATAATCAATTATACTGTTTTTCGATTATATATTAATATTTTCAAATCACATATTCCATTGTCTAAAGAATTCTATTTTTAGAATTCCTGGTTTTCACTTGGCAGCACCCATATATACTTGCCAACAAAACTTAGACAAATTCCAAGCCAAAAAGAAAAATTGCCATTTATAAAAATTAAATGAAAAAAATGACTTTGATATTTTGCAAATATATTCTATATAACTATAGAATATATTTTATTTGTAAGGTTTTGAAATTAGTTTGGCTATAGTTCGGGATTTGGACGTGGACAAACCCAAACTATGATAGTTTGTGATTTGGGTGGTAAGTATATCCACAGCCAAAATTCAACACTCAGTTCATGCGTAAAAGTATATCATTAGGCTGAGTGCTATTAAAGATCGAAAAAAGCGTTATTGTTTTACAGTTTAATACCTTTACCAGCAATGTTCATACTTTTCATATGTTCTCTCAACTTCTTTCCAATATTTATGCGATTCTTTAAAGTAAACTTTTTTAAGACCATATTTTTGTACCTAGGCTTAACTCTTGAAATGTGACTTTAGAATGTGACGGGATTTTTTACAAACGCGCTATTGTAAGCACCGAACATTAGATTAGTCTTGAAATAATGGGTTGCATGATCGTCTTAACTTAGTTTGTACCCAGTAAGATAATCGCTTTTATATAAAAGTAGATCCACAAAAGGTGACTTACGTGCTATTGCCTGTCACTCACGTATCGATCAATAATTTTATTGGTTAAAATTGATAATCATGTGAAAAATGATCATCGGTCAAAATTGAAACATATCACGTGATTGTAGAGTATAGGCTACCAGCACCATATTAAATTTTTTTAATAGGTATTTAGTTGTAGAAAACATATCAGCGTTGGGCCTAAGAAAAGACCTTTTTTCCCCTTATGGAGCTATTGAAGGGTGAGTTATTATTATTATTATTTTTGGCAAATTTTTTTTCGCATAAAACTAAAAAAAAAAATCGAATCCTTAGATACCAGTATTTAGATGATTATCCATGTGAAGAATTTACAAATGTATATTGGATAAAAATTTCAATCAATTGCTGAAACTAGATAACCTTTGAAAGAAAAGAAATTATTTAAGATTTAAAATTCACAATATCTCAATCATATAGAATGGCAAAGAAAAAGGTTGATGATCACTCTTTCTTTAGCTCTTATCTGAGAGTACGTTACGGACCTTAATATGAAACTATCGAAGATACACGACAAAAATTACAGGATAGGCGCAATGTTGTTGCAATCAAGACTCGCGAACCTGATGAAAATAAAGATAAGAATATTGCATATACCTATTTATTTTACAAAAATTATGAATTTCATTAATACTAATGATTGATAAATACTCTAGATGCAAAATTGACGACACTTAATGTTACCACCTTCCCATCAGCATATTCTACGACAAACATCTATCCACAAATGTATATTCAGATTATTATTATTCATATCCTTATTCAATATATTATAGGTCAGTATGTATGTATCAAATATATAAATATAAACGTTAAACATGAAATTTCACTTTCTACATAGTCAATATACGTAGTCAAGAGTCACCATCAATGCCAGGTGCCGATTTTAAATCTACTGCTGCGTCATATCCATTCCGGTTTATTCATCCCTATGTAATATTAATTATATATCGATATACCTTTTTTCGATAAAAGTATCCATTTGTTAATAAAGCTTGTGTTTTTTTTTAAACACAGGATTCACAATCTTCCACAGTCCTCTCAATATGACAACGATTAAAAGAAGCTTCAACAGTAATCGACAACATTACCACAAAAAAAATATGAGCAACACACAATCAGAAGAACCTAAGAAACGTCGAAGAATTTAAAAATTCTTTAAATAATGCTAATACTTCAGTTTGTAAATGTGGATTATAAACATTATTAAACTTATATATATATATATAGATATATAGATATGTATATATATATATATACTAATTAATTAGAATTAGTTAGAATTAATTATCAAACTTAAAACTTTTGTAATTATATTTGCATAAGTCTTCCTTTTATTACTATTATGATTTTTAATTTTAAAAATATTTTTTAAAAAAAACTTGATTGTATGTGGGATTATTATTAATTACATATAAGGAGAAAGGCTTATTGCGTAAATTTAAAATCGTAATGGTTGTGTTTAAACATATACATATGGGGGATTTAAATTTTTACAATTAAACAAATTTACAGTTGCTTTTTTCAGGGGGAAGAAATTTACATATAAAAAATATACATCAATCGTGATGTACAAATTCGAGTTATCATGCATGATTTGCGCATCTTCCATGCCGAATGGACATAGCGCCATAAATTTAATAAAGGTACCCAATTATAAAAAAAAAAAGTCGATATCAAAGTTGTCAACTTGTTTAAGTCGATGAAATTGAAAAATAATTTTCGACTATACTTCAAAACACTACAAACAAACCCCCTTCATCACACTCCTCTCCTTAATTTCATCCTCTGTTACATACAAATCTCATAAATCTTCTACCAAACTATCAGACCCACCCTCCAACTAATTCCGGAATCTCCAAAACAAAAAAATGTTGAGAAAAAAAAAGCGAATTAATTAAAGGGAGGATCATTAAGTGGAGAAAATAGAGAAAAAAGGAAATGAAAAAAAAAGAAAAGTGGGAAGAGAGTTGCTTTGTGTATGAAAAAGGTCGATGCAACATTAAAATACCAAAAATAGTTTTTTTTTTTTTTTTTGGTAAATATTGGGCACTGAAAAAGCGCAATACATTAAAAAAAAAGATATAATATAATACAAATAGAAAAAAAAAAAAATAATAATTTTTTTTTCTTTTTTTTTTGCCATAAAACCCATTTCCCAAATATAAATATATGAAACATAAAAAAAATAATAAACCAATAAAGATTTAATTAAAATCGTAAACTCAGTATAGTGAATGCCGATAAAGAGGACAACCAAGACATTGATTAGAGAAGATACAACATGTAGAAAAGTTAATTACACATGTGTATTCAAATGTTTTGAAAAATTATCGGAATGCTAGGCTAGAGTGGATTCGACTATCACTTGCGTGACACGATACGGATCAATATTTGATGCCGGACGTCGATCTTCCAGGTACCCTTTCCCTTCAGCAGCAACATGTCGCGGTATACGAATAGAAGCACCACGATTTGCAACACCATAAGAGAATTGAGATATGTGACCAGTCTCGTGACGACCCGTTAGACGTTGATCATTATCTTCACCATAAACGGCTATATGTTCAGCATGTCTTGTCGCCATTTTGTCAATAGCATCATGAATTGCTTTAATGCCACCTTCCTCACGCATGGCCTGTGTTGAAAAGTTGGTGTGACAACCTGCTCCATTCCAGTCGCCTTTTATCGGCTTAGGATGGAACGATACCACGGCACCGAAATCTTCGGCAACACGCTTCAGCAGATATCTTGCCATCCAAAGATGGTCACCCATATCGATCCCTTCACAAGGGCCTACTTGGAATTCCCATTGACCTAAAAGAATATAATAAAGTAAATAAAATGAATAAAAATAATAATAATGATAATAATAAATTATATAAAATAATAATAATAATTATATTATTATTATATAATATATATATTTATATATTTATAAATATAATAATTACCAGGCATGACTTCTGCGTTGACACCAGAAATTTTAACACCAGAATAAAGACAAGCGCGGTAGTGAGCTTCAACAATATCACGGCCAAAAGCTACGTTAGCACCGACAGAACAATAATAAGGACCCTGAGGACCGGGGAAACCCCCTTTAGGCCAGCCAAGAACACTGCCTTCCATATCGAAGAGGGTATATTCTTGTTCGATACCAAACCATGAATGAGCATCACAGTAAGTTTGCATAATTTTAGAGCAAGAATGACGATAATTGGTTCTATTTGGAGTTCCATCATTATTGTAGCATTCACAAAGAACAAGAAGATTATCGCCACCTCTGAAAGGATCCTTAAAGAAAGCGCAAGGACGAAGCAAGACGTCAGAGTTATCACCAGGAGCTTGATTGGTAGAAGAACCATCAAAATTCCATTCTTTCAATTCAGAAACGTCTTCGGGTTTTTTGTCGAGAGTAGTGGTCTTAGAACGGAGGCCTCCATCGCCATCGATCCAGATGTATTCGGCTTGGACTTTACCTCCTTGGTCGAGAGCAAGGTATTTAGCAAGGGTTTGAGTGTTGGATTTGTTGCTGATAGACATTGTCATAAAAAATTACTCTTTTGTAAAGACTAATTTGTAGTTGTTCGTTAGAAAAAAAAAGTCGTAACAAAACCAATAATCCAGAA